TTTTTAATTGTCAATGTCTGATGTTATTCCCTTTTGATTAAATTGCCTTTGTTATTTCTACTTTCAAAAATTTGAGAGGTTTCATGGCCTAATAAACAGTTTATAGAACACAATCACTATATCAATTGAAGTTTTCCAAGTGACTTAAAAATATATATTATATATATATTTGCTTACTTCATATTGTGTGGACATACATAGAAACACAGCCAATCCAGAGGCCTCTGGGCCAACTCACACTTACAGTAAAAACACTCATTCTAGGCAGGGGTCCTCAAACTTTTTAAACAGGGTGCCAGTTCACTGTCCCTCAAACCGTTGGAGGGCTGGACTACAGGCCTGGGGACGAGTTGGCTGCTAAGCAGGACAGGCAGCGGTGGCAAAAACACCTGGTGGGCTGGATAAATGTCATAGGCAGGCCGCATGTGGCCTGTGGGCCGTAGTTTGAGGACGCCTCTTCTAGAGTCTTGAGGGACTTGATTGTCTAACATCTAAGTTCAGGGAAAGCTGAGAGCCCTATAAGGGTGAAACCTGCTTTGAACGGTTTGTTCTCATGACTGTTCAGGTTTCAGTTATGTTTTGGATGGGGGATGCCTCTATTCCATATTTGAGCATCATCTGGAAGGAGCTACTCATGATCTGTTCCATGTCTACCTTTTCCCTAGTCTTCTCTTGCCTTCTTTTTCTTTCTTATCTTGTCTGTGTCAAGACTAGGGAAGCCTTTTGCTGTCTCCTTTTATTCATGAATTTTATCAAGAAGAATTTAGGGGTCAGTTGAATAGACAGACTGGGTCATCTCTTTTCTATGGGTGTATGATACAGTGGTAGCCTGGAAATTAATAGGTTAGTCTCCATCCCATTCCAAATAACCCCCTTTTCACAAATTCTGAGGTGATGAAGTCTCAATGATTCTAATCCCCCCAAATCCCATGATTCATGATCTTAGTTGTTTCAACTCTGAACAATTCCATGATTTGAATGATAAAGTGGGCTGCGTGTGGAGGAGGGAGTGCATCTAGTTGGCTACTGAAACTCCCAGGGGCAATAAACATAGCACTCTACTTCCCATGGGTCACCGGGAGTGTGGTCTTATGTTCTCACAGTCATGATGTACCCGGGAAGGAGCTCTGCTTCCAGAAGACCATTTAGCTAGAGTATGTGCATTGATATCTGGGGAATATTGTCCTATATGGTACTGGGAGGCACTTTTGGTTGCCTAAATTTCCTTTTCCACCAGTAGTCATTTTGTCTTTGACTCCAATGTTAAATAGAGTCCTACACAGCCATTTTAAATTTTTTCTTTTTCAGCATCAATATGGTCATGTTAGTTTTTAAAAAATGCAACTTTTTTTGAAGGTACCTTGACCTCGCAGCCTGTAAGGAATTAAAATATTTATAATCTGAAAACTAACAATGAATCTGATATAAGATTTCCATCTTCATTGAAACACTTTATCATAACTTGCCTTGTATCAGAAGAAGTCAAATATGGTCTGGCGTCTGTCTCCATCACCAGAACGTTATTTTCCAGAGTGCAGGGACCTTGTCTTGACATCCTTATACTCTCCTACTGGCTAGCGTAGGGTCCTAAAAATGCCCCTTACATAATTTGAGTTAAATTTAAGCAAAAATTAATTTCACTTGCTTGGTAGTTACATATAAACAAATACTTTTATTAAGCTATTAAAATGAATTTTGGTTAATTTGCTTATTTCGCTTTTCTATCAATTTCTTAAAAAATAACGAAGACAAAGGAAGTAAAATTGCCAGCTGTTCTTGTTTAAAGAAAGCTGCCTGAGCACCCTATACCGCCATCTAGTGGAAGCAAAGGCTCCTCTGCTGTCTGAGGGAGTAACACAACGACGACAGGAGTGGATCTGCATCCGATCACAGTTGAGGGGATGGGAGGGGGACACAGTGGATGTTCTGTGTTTTTCTCTGATTAGCCACGTCCTGCCTAGGATGGCTGCCTCTTTGCTCTTGGCACAATAGCAGAGGAAGCCTTCTTTGTGGTTTTGCGAACAAGCTCATCATGATAAAAACTCTGAACGGTGTTCTTGGCTGGAGCTTTTGTGGGCTAGTAATTTAAGCTGTGGGTTATTCTCAACAGAGCAATGCAGCTTTTAGAGGAGAAATGTCAAGGTTTTATTAGCATGAGTGCCAAACACACACACACGCACACATAAACACACACACACACACACAGCGCAGTTTCACCCTCTTCCTAATTCTTGGTTGTGTTGTCCTCCTTGGCAGCCTCTGCTGTAGCATACTGCCTGTGGCTCAAGACAGAGTGTCCTTAACACATGTGTAAAGCTGCATTTGGCTCTGCAGGAGAGGAGCCCCAGACACCCTGGCTCAGTCTCTCATGATGACTATTGAGGCTTTTCATCCAAGTTGACTTTATTTATTCATAAGCAAGACTGACAAAGTTCTGAGGTCTCCGAACCAGATTCCTTTTCCTTTACGTTTACTTTAACTTCTTTGATTTTCTTTTTCTCTTATCTCTGCCTTGTCAGCTCTCTGAGCAAAGCCTGTGAGCTCCCTGTGGCCTCGTTTTCTTCCTCTAAATGCATGCCAACATATGCACAAGAGGATATGGACGATTCAGGGCTCTGGCTTACATCCCTGTTGGAAAGTGGCTTTTTAGAAAATCAGAGAAAACCCACTTAAGTTGCACACTGATAGAATCCCAGGGGCTGGCCTGACAGGTAGGCTGAGCAGATCATCAGGCCATTTGGTATGAGTTAAAGGTTGAGGCATGTCTCCCCATCATGTGTCCTACAGGAGCTCTCTGGCTAGCTCTGGAAACTGCCATATAAATATAGAAAGATCATGATTTCCATGTAAGAAATTAGGACTCATGTCTGACATGTTATCTGAAAAATAGAGCAGAGCTGTTCAGCTAAATCTGGGATGAATGGTCACTCAGAGGTTTCATCTCTTATTCCAGCTGAGATCAAAGACAGGCTGCTTGCTTGGAACACTATTGAGAAGAAAATTCTAGGGCCACATCTGGGTTTAGTTATGAGCAGAAACTGGGATGGATTAGGAAGGTCAGAGCTAGCCATGGATGGGCTAAAGAGACCATGGCCATATTGGCTTTAGACACAAATGATGTCTTGGAGGGCTAACAGTGAAATGCCATAAGCTGTTAACATCCTGGCATATGTTACATTATTAGATTAGCTGTCCATCACAAGGCTGTAAGAGAATGGAGTCACAGAATAGGTGAGCTTGTTTTTATGGCTTATTCTTCCTTTTAAAAATTCAGGTAAAATTCACATAACATTATATTCACATTTTAGACCATTTTAAAGTGTACAATTCAGTGACTTACAGCATATCCACAAGATTGTGCAACCATCACCACTATCTAATCCATAACCTTTTCATCACTCCAAAATGAAACCCTGCACCCATCAAATGGTTACTCCCTATTCTTTCCTCCCCTCTGCCCTTGGCAACCACTGATCTGCTTTCTATCTCTGTGGACTTGCCTATTCTGGACATTTCCTATCAATGGAATAGTACAAGTATGTAGCCTTTTGTATCTGGCTTATTTCACTGAGCATAATGTTTTCAAGGTTCATTCATGTTGTAGTGTGTATCAGTGCCTCATTCCTTTTTTATGGCTGAATAATATTCTATTGTATGGCTATAATACATTTTTGTTTATCCATTTATCAACTGATAAAAATTTGGGTTGTTTCCATGTTTTGGCTTCGTGAATAATGCTTATATACAAGTTTTTGTTTGCAGACTTGTTTTAAATCCTCTTGGGTAAATAGCTGAGGTTTTTGTTTTTTGCCATTTGGGGGGGAAGACAGATGTATTTGAAAGTGTCTGATAGGTGAGTTTTGCTAGGAAGAAAAGAGCAGGAGTTTGGGAGCTGCCTGAAGGAGATCTAGAAGGAGAAAAGAGTGGAGCAGAATGCCTTAGGCCAGCTATGGAATCCCAAGGGCAAAGGGTCTCTGGAAAGGAGGGCAGGGGAGGAAGAAGATGATGCCAAAATAAGACAGCAGTGACCTTGAACTTGATTTGTGGAAGAATGAGGTTTGTCCAGAATTTATAAAATGGCTGCTGATATTTTTCTGTTTTTTATAAGGAGGAAAAAAATTTCTGGTGGGGATGAAATGATGGGTTAAGGAAGGGCCAAAGTAAAGTGAAAGTGGTAATGGTTTTGGTCTTGTCTTACCAGGATATTAACAGATGCTGTTTGGCAGAAAGAAGAAAAGCTTTTTTTGCTTGTAACACAAAATAATAAAATTGGTAGAACAAATTTTAGCATAATAAATTGAAGAAAGGGGCCCGTTTATGACAAGATGCTGCTATGTGTTTCTGTGGCAATGAGCTTTTTCCAAAGCATCTTCATCTTTATAAGCTCATTAGGATGAATGAATCAGTCAGAGCAAGTACCATTTGCTGCCATTTAAGAAATAAGAAAATCAAGACACCCAGCATGACACCTGGTGATAGTAGATGTTCACTCAATATTTGTTGAATAAATGAAGCAGAGTCATATCAACTATTTTCAGAGGAGGAATGTCAGAGCAAAGTGAAGGAAGTTCTGGGCTTAAATCTAAGGTCAACTGGTTAGTGAGTGAAGGACCCACATCAGTAGTCTGTCCTTTGTCCTGGTATAGAATGTTATCACAGTATCAACTACATTGCTTTATGGTGATTTGTGCTATGTATGTCTCCGCCATCAAGCCATATGTTCCTGGGGGTGGAGCTTTGTCTGATATATCTTTGAATCTCTAGGATGTAGCACAGTTAAAACTTGTTGGATGATTGGATGAATAGGAACCAGAACCTATCTGTTCTTTCTGGGTCTCTTCTCATTCTGCCACAGCTGTTAGCGGCAAATCAAGGACTCAATCACAGTTTCCATGTCCCAAGGATCTTTTCCTTATGTCCTAATGTCTATACCCATCAATGTAGGTGACATAGCGTGTACCTGGCAGGTTGCTTTGGACTTGCCAGGACTGCACACTTACCTGAACCAGGTCTGGTGTGAGGCGCTTGGCCTGCAGCCACTTCTGGAACCTCCCTGTTTTCCGCAGGACACGTTCAATGCTGCAGGTCTTTGGGGCTGATGCAGAGGCACAGATTCTCCTGTCTGAGATCTCATCTTGGTATTTGCTGACCAACCTCAAGATCTCTACAGGGCGCCAGGTTTTGGAATCATCTGAGTAATTTGCAGGGTAAAAAGGCATGTAGTCAGGAGGCAGTCCTAGTTGGGGAGCCAGCCAGTTGTCAAACCTGTTGGGAGAATAATCCTTTTAGGATTGGCCTATGAGTTAGAGGCCTACATAGCTTGGGGACAGAGACACAGAGGACAACAGCCCATCTGATCCATTTCTCCTCCTTAGGCTGGGGCACTCTGAATTCTTTTGGTGAGAGAATGATTTTTGTCTCCTCTAAGATAGGGAAGTGTATGTGTGATGTCAGAAAAAGTGAGAGAAATGTGTGGGACAGACACAAACTTTATCCTCTTGCAACTGGCGTGAAAAGACTAGCTACGGCTCTCTGAACTTCTACACTGTGTAAAGATGGCAGCTTTACACATGCTGACATTTTTTTTGAGACAGAGTCTTACTTTGTCATTCTTGGTAAAGTGTCATGGCATCATAGCTCACAGCAACCTCCAATTCCTGGGCTCAAGTGATACTCTTGCCTTAGCCTCCCAAGTAGCTGGGACTATAGGCACCTGCCACAATGCCCGGCTAGTTTTAGAGATGGAGTCTCACTCTTACTCAGGCAATCCACCCGCCTTGGCCTCCCAGAGTACTAGGATTACAGGTATGAGCCACTGCACTTGGCCAAAGGAATTCACGCAATGCTGACATTTTTGATTCTCCTAATATCTCATCCCAACTTGGTAGGAGTGGATACTGAGGCATATAGAGCTTACATACCTTGCCTAATGTCAGACTACACGTTTTCACATGGGAGTGCAAACCATAGGCTGCCTGCCATCAAATGGAACCATCTTTCCCTTTCCTTATACTGGTCCCCCAAACTATCTGCCTTCTGACCAGTCGCTAGGTCTTGAAGAAGCTCTTGAGCCTGCACTGGAGAGACCACAAAATCTCCCTATCCAACCCTAAAGAGTCACATTAATTTTTTTTTTAGTCTAAACATTTAAGTTATCAACACAAACCAAGTCTCAGATAATAGAAACTGCTAAGTCGTCACCAAATTTGAAGCTATCTGGGTTCCAGGAGGTATGTAATTGTGCACAGTGGCCTGTTCATCCTTAATCCTCCTCAGGGGAGAGAAACTGACCTATTATCATCTGCCAATTTCCTAGGCCCCCCGTTTATCCTTTTCTTTATACTCACTTCTCCAGCTGTGTGCTGACATTTCCATTAGGGAAGAGTATTGAATCTCCTTTTGATTTATATATGAAATTACTCAGAAAAAGTTTACCTTTATTATTATTAATAATTGAGGGTTGTACTGCAAATAAAAATCAGTTGTCTATATAAGATATGTTACATATTTAATTTAAATGAGAATCTTTAATTCTTATTATTGAGCATTATTGGGCACCTCCATGATGAGTTTTAGATAATGCATTTTGGATGATTTTGAATTAGCGTTTTAATTAGCCCCCAATCCTAGATTGTTTTGTTTTCTCATTTATATGATGTAGCTTTACCCTAAATGACAGCAAGGTTTTTCTACTATTTTGATGAGAAAGAAAGCCACATAAAAACTTACAAGGAGACTTTTCTAGGGAGCTGGAAAGGCCAGGCCTTTGAATCCCTGAGGGATAGAATAGAAATCTATGCCTTTCACATTTAGGAAGGTGCTCCAACAGAAACTGTCAGTAAGCAACTTCTGCAATACAGGACAACGCAAGTTGCAATATAAGTAGGCACAAAGAATTATGTTTAAGAATGTTACCACAAATAAATTTAAAAAGATGAAACACTGTAAACTTGAAATGAATCAATTTCAAGATAACTGAGGGAAATGATCATCCCCTGTGGGATGATAAGGAAGGGCCCAGGGCCCAGAGGCAGGCCTGTTTGCCTATTTCCTACAGTGGTTCTTGCTCATGGAGGAGAGAGCCACCCCTCCTTCCAAAGGACCTGCAACTAAGGATTTAAAACCAGGTGTCTCTTATAGATTAGTAACACACACTTACGAAACCCTTAACAGTGCCTGTCACTTTGCTGAACACTTTATGCATTGATTCTCTTAATACTTTTTATAAAATTATGACTTAATACTACTATTAACCATACAGATGAGGAAAACTAAGCATAGAATGGTTATGTCTTTTGCCCAAGGTCACATGACCAGGAATTGGAGGAAGTGGCATTCAAGGCTCCAGAGTTTCAACTGTTATCACTTTGTACGTGCTTGTTCCTCCATTATCCATTTTATGAGTTAGCTAGTGGGAACAGATTGGTAACATTTTGGGGGGTTATAGATGGCAGGGTTCTGAAAGATTATTTTGTCCCTTCCCCCTTCTCATCTTGTTTTGGGGATGAGAAAATTGGAGGCAGAACATATGTGACTTGTCTGAAGAATTGCAAACAATTAGTGGTGAGGGAGGGCAGATCTCGGGGCTCCTGTTCTAATTGTGAGGGTGGCATGGAGGAGTGACTTCCTAAACTGCAAGAAAAACTTACTATCCTTTTTTTCTGTCCCTACCTTCTCAGGAGGGTCTACTGAGATGACAGCACTATGTTGGCAAGGGACTTGAAATATATGACTGCGCAGGTTCAGTAACAGCTTGAGCTTTCCATATGGGCTGAGACAAATAAACAAGCTTACAGGCTTTACTTCTCCCTCCTCCATTCTAAGTGATAATACATTTATTGTATTGAATGGGAAGTGTATATTCTTACAACATTGATTACTTACTTTGTTGAATAGAAGAATGTCAGTGAGAAAATAGGTCTTGCTTTTTATTCACTAAAATGTTAATATCCTGGCATTTGGAAAACTACAAAAATAGAGGCACCTTTCTAATTTTCCTTCTACATCAAGATCACGAGCATGATCAAAGTGAGGCTGGCCAAGTTCATCATTGTGTTGAATGATGAACTAACAGGATCATGGTATTTCAGAGCTGAAAGGAAGCAGCAAGACCACGAGGTTCAATCCTATTATGTTCCTTAACATGGAGAGTAGGGTAAGAGTGTGGAGGGGAGGGATAGCTTTGGAGTTAGAATGAAATGTTGTCTTCTTATGCATAATTTTTATGCTGTTTGTATTCAAATATTAAGTATATAGACACATCTTCCTAAAGATTTCTTTCTCTCTTCCCTTTTCTCCATTCCCCAGCTTTACATCTAACCATTAAACCATCTGGTGTCTTCCCAACATGCTTAGAAGAGTTCATGCTTCTTAGTGCTTAGAGCTTAGTTCACAATGCTCTTTGCCTGCTGCACTGCCTGCTTTATCACCTGCTGCTGCCCTTACAAACTTGCTCTGATCTTAGCAAACCACTGGCTATCCTTGGATAAACCACATTCTTTCAGGCTTCTGTGCCTCTACTCGCCTGTAATCTACTGATCCCTTTGAGACACTTTCTCCCTCTTTCTTGTCTGTAAACCCCCTATCCAACCCTTTAAAAGTCAGTAGCTCAGCGGCTAAGGCACCAGACACATACACCAGAGCTGGCGGGTTCGAATCCAGCCCAGGCCTGTCAAACAGCAGTGACAACAACAACAACAACAACAATAAAAATAGCCAGACTTTGTGGTGGGTAGTCCCGGCTACTTGGAGGCTGAGGCAAGAGAATTGCTTAAGCCCAAGAGTTTGAGGTTACTGTGAGCTGTAATGCCACGGCACTCCACCCAGGACAGCAAAAGTGAAACTCTGTCTCAAAAAAAAAAAAATAAAAAAAGAATTAAAATAAAAATAAAACTCAGATAGGTACCATCTCTTCTTATTTTCACTCCTTCATCACCCAGTTGGTACCTTTCCACTCCTGTGGGACACTTTGTATAGGATATTTTAAAAAATATTCCTTATACTCTGTTTTGACCATTGGTTTACTTTTCTGTCTTCCCAATAGAAAGTAAACTCCTTTAGAGCAAGGACTTGGCCTCTTTGAATGTTGTAACTCAATGCCTGGCAGAGCCCCTGGTACTAAGTTAGTGCTTGATAGTTGGATGTATAGATAGATGGAGGTGTATTTGGATGTAGAGGAGGATAAGTGGGTAGAGAGATACATAGAGGTTGGATGGTGGGATGCACAGAATGATGATTTGGTGGAAGAATGCATGGAGGGATGTCTAGATTAATGGGTGGATGAATGAGTGCATGTATGGAGGACCAACTATGTAGATGGATAGTTTTGCCACAAGCCTGCAGGCCCTGAAGTTCTCAAAGCCTCTCTGAGTTTATGTGAGGAAGGGAGTTAAAGTAATAATTATATATTTTCTGAGGGAAAGAAGATGGACAAGAGGCAAGGGAGAAGGCAAGGCAAAATCAAGCCTAATGATTTGTTTATTTCACTGTGAGCTCCTCAATGCTCACTTGGAAGTGTTTAAATATTTTTTTTAACACTTTGGGAATGGCAGTGGAATGTCAAGCCAAGTGTGTATAGTACGGAAAGTGAGGTAAAGCATCTGCCCTGGGAAGTGCCCAGGAACTCCTAGGAGCAATTCTAATTGGAGATATTGCCACTGTGTACCTCTCACTCCACACACATGTACTATACTGATCAATCAGATTCTGGTAGACCTTAGCAATTGTTGTGGTCACTCAGGATTTCACATATAGGCACATTTTCAGCAGGAAAAGCATGCCAATCAGGCTTACTCATTGTCTTAGCTTACCTTAACATTTTCACTCAGGATTTAAAAGTTGACATGGAATGCATGCGAAAATTTGCAAAGGTCAATGATTGAATATGGAGAACTTCTGATTCATCCCTAACATTCTTGCTAAAGAAAAGATAAAGGAAAGAAGCAAAGGCGACATTCATCTACTGATCATGTCTTCAGTGAACCCAACAAGCCTGGGAAACCCATCTGTGGCTTGTTGCTGAACCAATACAAGCATTGTCCAATCCTTAGTGAGCACCAAGACCTAGCTATATCTCTTCAGCCAAAAGTCTGAGAGTTTTGGATGGGCTTTCTCCTAAAGCATCATGGTAATCATTTCAAAAGTGGAGAAATGTTTGGGGATTAACAAGAATGCAAAGAACAGATACACCATTAGAAAGAGAGGCGAAGGACTTGAAATTGTAGACAATTTAGCAAAGAAGAAATACAAATGTTCAATACATCTGGAAAAAAGTCTCAACTCAGAAAAAAAAGTCTCAACTCAGAAGAAATACAAATTTAATAATAATATTACATATTTAAATTGTATATATGTACATTCTAAACACTTGTAATTTTTTTGACCCAGAAATTTTACTTTTAAGAGTTTGTCATAAGAAATTAATCAATGATCTGTGCACTATATGACCACAGGGATGTTTAACATAGCACCATTTGCAATACTGAAAAGCAAAATAAAGCCCCCTACTCTGCCTATGATGGATTAGTTAAATTAATTGTGTTTGATTGGTGCAATTAAGTACCATGAAGCCATTAAAAATAAAATTGTAGACATCATTTAATAATGTGGAAAAGTATTTCTGATATTAAATAAAATTTTCTAAAAGAGTATTATACATAGATGGTCACATTTTTGTTGAAAAAAATTCTTAATTCATACTTAGAAAAGGGGTGGTGAGGATATACAACAAAATGTCCATTAAGTGATAATCTCTTAGTGGAGGAATTACATATTTTTATATTGTGCTTTCCTTAATAAATATTTTCTGAAAGTTCTAAAATCAGGAGATACTATTTTTCTAATAAGAAAGAAGTTATGTAGAATGTAGAGAAAGGGACTCTAAACAAGTCCACATCACCAGACCCTCTCATTGCCTCTTTCTGCCTTTTGTACTGAGAATGAATATTCTTGATACAAAGATCTGTAAACCTGAATGTGCCCTGCCTGCTGTTTTCCTGCCTGTATCTGCACACTTCCCTTTCAGGGACACATGGAAAATGAATTCTAAGGGAGATGAAGTAATATCCTGAACTCTAATGGAACACAAACTTATTTAGCAAAATGCTTTCTGAATTTGCCTAATACATGAGTGGTAAGAAAAACTTCATTCTTTGGTGAACAAGGAGGATGTGAACCTAGAACTCTTCCTCAGTTGAATTCCTCAATTTCTCTCCCTCCTATTTTAAAATATCTTAAAATATGTCTGTATTCTCATTGCTTCCTTTCTCTGAGGAATCAGCAACACTTCACCTGTGTTCTTCGTCCTCTTTGTCCCATTACCAGAGTGAAAAAACTTGAGTTCACTTTCAACACCTCCATCTTTATTTCCTCTCACATGGAGTTGGTCAACAAAATGACTATAGATGAACTGACTTGTGTCCTTCCTGCCATAATTTGTTCCCTATGACCTCTCTCATGAGCTATGGCAACTGTTCTCACATCCCCCGCCAATATCACCAGTCCATCCTGCACACTGTGTCCCTGAGATCTTTTCAAAACATAGGTCTCTAGTCTCTTCCCAGATAAACAACCTTATCACTGCCTGCAAGAGAGCTCTGCCTGCAAGAGACCTCAGCTTGGGGTCTTTCAACTTTTCAAGATTAAAAAATGCCTTAAGGGTGGTGCCTGTGGCTCAAAGGAGTAGGGTGCCCACCCCATATGCCAGAGGTGGCAGGTTCAAAGACAGCCCTGGCCAAAAACTGCAAAAAAAAAAAATGCCTTAAAGAAGGTTTACAAGGAAGAGTTCACCATCAACTCCATAAAATATCTATGGTCTCATAAAAAAAGCTTAACATTTTATATTAGTATTTTCTTTTGTTAAATTTTTTTGAGAGAGAGTCTTGCTTTGTTGCCCTAGCCAGAGTTCAGTGGTGTGATTATAGTTCCCTATAACCTCAAACTCCTTGGCTCAAGTGATCCGCTGTCTCAGCCTCTGGAGTAGCTGGGACTAAAGTTGCATGCCACCATGCCTGGCCAATTTCTTAATTTTTATTTTATTATTTTTATTTTTAAAATAAAGACTTGGTTTTAATTTTCTTTTTTTATTAAATCATAAACACATAGATCATGTATACATTAACGCATCTATGGAGTAATGCAAGTAATGTGCTGATTTCATAGAATTAGGAGCGTTTACATCACACTGGTTAATATATACCTCATCTCGTTTACTTAATTATTGTGTTAAGACATTTATACTCTATACTTAATAGATCCAACATGTACCCTTGCATTATGGAGATGAAGTTTCATTATGTTGCCCAGGTTGACCTTGAACTCCCAGCCTCAAGCTATCTTTCTGCCTTGGCTTCCTAAAATGCTAGAATTACAGGTTTGAGCCACCATACCCAGGCTTGATTGGTATTTTCTATTTATTATTTCTGTTTATCAATTTAATTGAATAATCAAATATGTCTTTGGTTACTACAGATTGGAAATAAAATCATTGTTAATTAATGCCTTTTGTTTAGTCATCAAATATTACAAGCATGAGGTAGATCCATCAGAGAGGATGGAAGAGAAGAGGCAAATGACAATGAGTTTTTGGTACTGAAAAGGCTAGGAACCACTGGTCCACAAATTAAAGTCCCAATTCATTGGCATGATATTCAAGGCTTTGTGCCCTGTGTATCCTTGCAACCTCCTTTGCCACACCTCCATGTACATCCCATACTCTAACCAGTGAACATCTCTTACCTCAACCCTCCACCTCTGAGCCTTTGCTTAAGCAGCTTCTTCTGCCTTAAGCCCTTCCTCTCTTATTAAATATCAGCTCATTCTTTAAGACCTGGCTCAGAATACTTCCCCCTGGAGAAACCTTTCCCTAGTTCCTATGCACAATTAATGTTTCCTCCCTGGAGCTCCTGGAGGTCCTTTACACTGACTTGCATCAGAACAAGCCTTATTATGAATATTTGTAACACTATCCTTTTCTCCTGTTCCCCTGGAGGGTAATGATCAGGGTTATAGTGGCTGTCACCATAGCACCTGCTAGATCTTGGCTATGATAAAGGCTTATCAACTGTGTGTTGACAGCCTTGAATTCCAGAATATGACACCATTCTTTCAGAGCCATGTGCATTGTAGTTTACTAAACTCTGGTTTTCCTCGGACCAAGGCAACATCTCACAACAGAAAATTGGCTCAGAAACTTTGGAACAAATTGCGCTGGTTTGAATCCCAGATCTACCATTTATTAGGGGGTGACTTTGATTAAGTCACTATACCTTTTTCTTGTAACATAATTTTTACTGTATATATTTACAGTGTACAACATGATGTTGTATGATACACACACACACACACACACACACACATAGTAAAATGGTTACTACAGTGGAACAAATTAACACATCCATCTTATCACAACTAGTTACCCCATTTCCCATCCCCCCACTTAATCTTGTTATGTCTCAGTTGACTATTCAAATAATTGGTGCGAACTGCTAACTCTCAGGATGGTTTAAAATGTCTGTCAAATAGTAGGCTTTCTATAAATTTTATTTATTTCCCCTAATGAGAAATGAACTTGGTAAACTCAATAGTTCCAGTCCTGTTTACAGAAAAGAAAACTTCAAACTTTCATTTTAAAAGAAAACGTTGGATTTAGCATTTAGGGCTGGGATTTGGCTTCACACTTTGCCCTCTGACCCACCCCAGCTTCAAACCACTACCACCTTGATTAAATGGTTTCATTTCTGTTCCCACCCATATGTTATATCCTGATTCCTTTTCAAGAAACTGGGTATCTTCACATGAAGGGAAAAAAAATTGCCCCTCAGAGTTATTTGATTGAGATTCTGACCTTATTTCTTCTTTAAAGAACTTCTTACAAATAGATGTCCCGATGCAGGCATTGCATTTATCAAGACCGAGGAAAGTCCTTCCAAAACTGTAGCTGGTTCTGACTCGGGGCATCAGAGAAGGAGGGGAAAAAGGTGGTAAGGAGTAAGAAGAGCTCAGGGCTGAGACCCACAGCAGCAGGACCAGCCGGGACTCCATCTCCAGCTCTGGGCTGTAGCTGCAGCCTTTGGTTGCCCACTCACAGCTGCACAGAAGCAGGCCTTGGACAAAGAGGAAGCTGTCAAAGAGGGCTGGCTTCTGGGGGCTGACCCCATGTCGGCCTCCCTGCTTTCTGTTTGAGGATACCGAGGAGCTTGGGGCTAATGAGGCTGGGGAGGAGATGAGGAAGTCCATGGAGGATGCTGATAACGCTGTTTCCAGAGTTACTCTTCCTCTGCCTGCGGCGGCTGCCTCAAGCTGGGGAGGGGCTCACTGGCAGATTTCGGGGAAGGACAATGGTCAGGGCTTCCCTATGTGGTCCTTTTGACAAATACAGGATATCCTGGCTGGGCAGGAAAGTCCATGCAGGATGTGTGTCCGACCTGGGTTCCACCTGGGAGTTTCAAAGGATCCTGAAGGCCTCCGCCCTCCACTGTTTTAATTCTGAATATGTCTGTCCCTATGGGTTACCCACACATACACTCACACACACACACTCAGACACACATATCCCAATTTCCCGTTATTTCCCCCCTGTACCTGGTAATTTGTCCTGCCCCTTAATCAGCCCTACTTCCTCTACTCTTACCATATTTGGCTATGAAATTACCAGAGGCTAGTTTGCTGGCTACTAAGTAGCACATTTAACAATGATTTGAAAGGCCAAGGCTTTTTGCTGCTTACAGAATAGAAAACCCCAGGTTAGTCTACCTACTTTGCTGATCTGAGAACAAAAGAGGGAAAAGCACCTGCTAGCTTTTGTTGCATGATGATGGGAACACTAGGAGGGGCCTTCAGTCTGGATCCAGCTGTGCCTATCTGTCTCCCTGAAGCTGGAAAGCCCCTTCTACCTTTTATCACCCTGCATTGCTTCTCAGTGGCTGGCCTGACTTAGTAGGATTTAACAGCCCCAGGATTGTCTTTCTTTGGATGCCACAGCTTGGAGTAGATGGGAGTGCTAATTTGGGACTAGAGAGTTTTTGAGGACTCATCAAGGAAGGCAAGTTGCCTGACTTCCTGAGAGGAAGTGCATGTGGAGAATAGGGCCGTTTGAGAATATAAGAGAGTGCACATGAAAATGGGACTGGGAGAGGCGAAAAGGGAGATGAGAGGGAGTAAGGATGGCCTCAGGAGACTTGGCAAATTTTGCTAAACATTGGTGGGAGGAGCAGGGTAAAGGCAGCTCTCTGATGATTAAACATGTGTTTATTAGCCATCTGTATAACTTCTTCAGGGAAATGTCTGGTCATAGTTGTGTTTTTTGTTTTTGAAATTTGACATTTCTTTATATATTCTTGATCAGGGGTCCTCAAACTTTTTAAACAGGGGGCCAGTTCACTGTCCCTCAGACCATCGGAGGGCCAGACTGCAGGCCTCCGGAGGAGTCATCTGCTAAGCAGGACAGGCAGCGGGCGGGCAAAAACACCGGGTGGGCCAGATAAATGTCCTAGGCGGGCCACATGCTGCCCACGGGCCATAGTTTAAGGACGCCTGTATCTTGATTCTAGTCCTTTGTTGAATATGCAAATTTTTTTTTAGGTGCTAACTTGTCTTTTATCTTCTTTTTTTTTTTTTTTTGAGACAGAGTCTCACTTTGTTACCCTCGGTAGAGTGCTGTGGCGTCACAGCTCACAGCAACCTCCAGCTCTTGGGCTTAGGCCATTCTCTTGCCTCAGGCTTCCAAGTAGCTGGGACTACAGGCACCTGCCACAATGCCTGGCTATTTTTTTGTTGCAGTTTGGCCAGGGCTGGATTCAAACCTGCCATCCTAAGTATATGGGGCCAGCGCTCTACTCATTGAGTCACAGGTGCTGCCCAGTCTTTTATCCTCTTAAAAGAGTCTTTCATAGAGCAAAAGTTTTAAATTTTGATGAAGTCCAATTTGTCAAATTTTTATTTTGTGGATCATGCTTTTGGTGTCAACTGTGATAAAAGAAAAAACTTCAGCACATTTAAATTCTTAAGAGTTTCTTTGTATATTCTGTGATTCATGAATTGGGGCACACCAAACCCCAAGTGGCTAGCACTCTGAGGAAGAGGACAAGAGGAGCAAGAGAAGAACATTTCATATGTAGGCAAAGTGTTTGCAGAAGCAAGACAAAACAATCTTGATTAGTTAGAATGGAAAAGTCTCTTATTAGAGGTTAGTTGGTGGGTTCTGATTGGTACAGTATTACAGTATCTAGTTTCAATTTACCATTTATGTTGGGTTTTGGATTATTCAGCTAGGAATTTAAATCACTAGCACCCTAGTTTAATGGTCTCCCAATTAGATTTTTTGAGCAATTCCCTTTTGATCACTGTCTCATTTATGAGAGATTGACCAAAACTTGGGCATAAGTGCCACTCTGCCATTATCATGGTTATGTTGTCTTTGTGTCAGTGTGGAACTGTTATATCATGACATCAGGCTCAGGAAAGAAAGATTCCTTTTGTTGCTCTAATCACTGTAAGACCATCTGGCGTACTGTTAATAGCTGCAAACACACATTTAAGACCCTTGAGAGAATATAGTGCACCAGGGAGATTATGATGATGACTATCAGGAAGATAATACCAAGACACTGGCATATGCTCCTTAGCCAAGGTCCCCACAAACAAAAACCAACTAACATTTCTTCTTTCTTTCTTTCTTTCTTTTTTTTTTTTTTGAGACAGAATATCAAGCTGTCACCCTGGGTAGAATGCTGTAGCATCACAGCTCACAGCAACCTCCAACTCTTGGCCTCAAGCAATTCTCTGGCCTCAGCCTCCCAAATAGCTGGGACTACAGGCACCCACCACAATGGCTGGCTATTTTTCTTTGTTGTTGTTGTTGCAGTTGTCATTATTGTTTTTTCAGGCCTGGGCCAGGTGCAAACCTGCCAGCCTCGGTGTATGTGGCTGGTGCCCTACCCACTGAGCTACAGGTGCTACCTCCAACTAACATTTCTATTGAAACAAAACAAAAACAAAGATCAATGACTAAAACATACTATAAATTCAGTTTCTGAATGCAGAGGAAAGTTAATTAAGATTTCTAGATTTGACCTTGAAACATTTTCCTGGCTTGCAGTTTAAATGTCTCTAATTATGGCATTGAGTGAACTCCCTAACATGAGCATCAGAGATGAGAGCAGTCCTAAACATCAAGTTGTCCATGTTTAACTTGTGGGGTTTCAAGAACAGAGTACTTTCTTTTTTTAGTGATTTCAAGAGGAGAATTGGAGGAGTCAAGAAGAATTCAGGATCCAGTCTTGTCTACAAGAAGATAATAAAACTTGAAAACAATGAGCAGGGCTACACTCTAATAACAAAAATTATGTACAGATTCATTTGGATTTCTGGAATGGTCTGAAGTTAGTTTTAGGTCAAAAATACTTAATTTAAAAATTTTGAGGAAGTTTGTATAAAATGTTAAAACGTCCAAAACACTTGATTAAATAGAATCATTAGTCACTATGAAAGAACAAATGGCAAATATAGAATGGCTACATAGCTATAAGAATATTGAGGTTTTTAATATCGAGAAGATCCACTTTTCTACATAACCAAAGATCTAATGAAACAGCAGTGTCCTGCTATTTAGTTGCAAGGGTCCAGTTTCAGGGAAGACAATTTTTCCACAGACTGGGATTGGGTGATGGTTTGTGGATGATTTAAGTGCATTATATTTACTGTACTCTTTATTTCTATTATAGGCAATCTCCAAGTTACAAACATCTGACTTATGTACAACTCACACTTATGAATGGAGGCAATTATAATAAGTTGTAAAGTTATAAATATCCAATTGACATACCCATACTTACAGGTAATAAGTAAATGTATCTGTTCCAACTTACCTACAAATTTAACTGAAGAACAAACCTACAGAACCTACTTCATTTGTAATTCAGGAACTGCCTGTATTATTACATTGTAATATATAACTAAAGAATTATAAACTCACTATAGTGCAGAATCAGTGGGAGCCGAGCATGTTTTCCTTCAGCTAGATAGTCCCAATGCATCACTGCCTCAGCTCCACCTCAGATTATCAGGCATTAAATTCTCATAGGGAGTGTGAAACCTAAATCTCTCACATGCTGAGTTTTCAGTAGGATTTCTGCTCCTATGAGAATCTAATGGTGTTGCTGATCTGACAGGAGGCAAAGCTCGGGCAGTAATATGATCAATGAATAGTGGCTATAAATATAGATGAAACTTAACTTAGAATTTAATAATTTCCTCCAGTATCTCTTCCTTGACCCAACTGTCATTCAGCATAAGATTGTTTAGTTTCCATGCCTTTGTGTGGGGATGAAAATTTTTGTTGAAGTTGAGTTCCACCTTTATTGCCTTGTGTTCTGAAAAGATACAAGGTATAATTTCAATTATTTTGATTTTGTTGAGGTTTTATTTGTGTACTAGGATATAGTCTACTTTGGAGGATGTTCCATGGGCTGATGAGAAGAATTCCTTAGCTTTGGGATGGTGTGTTCTGTATATGTCTATTAAGCCCAATTTTTCTAGGGTTGTCTTTAAGCCCCTTGTATCTTTGTTTAGTTTCTGTTTAGAGGATCTATCCAGTTCTGTCAGAAGGGTGTTAAAGTTACCAGATTTTATGGTGTTAGGGTAAGGTGACCAGACATCCCGCCTTTGGCGGGACAGTCCCGATTTTTAACAATTTGTCCCGCATCCTCAGTGTTTTTAAAAAGTCCCTATTTTTGGAAAAAATGCACGACAAGCTAGGGAACAGCAGGAGAACAGGAAGGGAATGTATAGTTTTCATCTGCCATGTGGCTATTTCACCAGGATATGAGTTTTATATTATTTTGTTAATTTTATAATGTTAAACTTTAATAATAACAAATAATTGTTGAGAACTGATTATCGAGAACCGCTTATCAAAGTTTGCATTGTTGTCAGGCC